CCCGTCTGGACACCCTCCGACGCTCTCATGGAGCAAGAGGGAGGGATGAAAGATGAGGCCAAAGAAGTGGCTGTGGCCAAGCTACACAGGGCCTTTGAGGGCCATGAAGTCGGGGTCCTCAGAGTTCAGGGAACTGAGAGGGGGGAGGTCTGAGACAACAGCCAGCTCCGTTTCCTGCCCAGATGGGTGTCTTCAGGCGGGAGTGTCCTGCCCTTATCTGGCTGTTTAGACCACACTTCTCCCTGTCCTGCGCCCACTCCCCTGTGGCTCTCCTTTGGGCCCTGGGCCAATGCCTCAGAGGGCTCTCTATCCACCCCCCATCCTCAGCAGGGTGTGTGTGTGGGGAGGCCTGGCAACCTCATCCACTTGGGTCAGCAAGTAGAGTCCTAATCAGATTAAGCCCAAAGCAAGATAAATCCCGGGCCAGCACCCCGTGGCCCCCTGAGACCTTCGAGACCTTGGTGAGTAGTGACTACCCTTGGGACTTTGCTGGCGGTCACTTACCCAGGTATGGGAGAGTGGGAGAGGGTGGAAGGGGCCGCCGAGGGGCCGCCTGCCAGAGGGTGGGGTTGACGGGAGGCCTGGCTCTGTGGAGGTCCACCCTGTTCTTCCTTCTGGGAGGATGCCCCAGCTGGCCAGCTTCTTGGCTCCCCTGGGTTAACTCCGAGGCCAGTGCTGGTCTGGGCGCCTCAGGTCACGCCTGCTCACTAGTGGGACCAGCTCCAGGCTGGCCGGGCCAGGGCAGCTTGGGCAGCAGTTTCCACGGGGACAGCATCTGATAGGACTTCCGTCAGGGCCCAGAGTCACCCCACCAGCCTGTGGCTCTGGGACTGGATTCTCAGCTGGGCTGGCCTTGTCCGTCTGGAGCCAGGGGTGGGTGCTTCGGGGTCTGAACAGCCATCTGCCTTGGACCCTGTGTGCTCTGACTTCTGAGCCCTGGCTCCTCTAACTGGTTCTGGTCCTGGGGACGGAGGCTGAGTCTTAGGGAGGGAAGGTGCTATGGTGGGGTTGCTGGATCCCAGGTGCTGGCACACCAGAGCTTTCCTCTCCAGAATGGACCGCCTCTCATTGCCTCCCGTCTGTCTCAGCAAGCAGCTGCTGGTGCCCAAGGCCGAGTCGGGTGTCTCACCCACAAGAGCATGCAGGGGCAGGAAATGGGACCCCAACAGGTGGTCCCTAGAGCGCCCAGCATCGGGGGCCTGCTTGCATCCTGTGCTTGGCCTAGCACCTTCTGGCAGCATGTAGGGTCCCAGCAGCCCCCTGGGGTATTAGGAGTCTCCCTCTGGTGCTAATAGGCTTAGAGAAAGCTGAGCTGTCTGAGGCCAAGGGCGCCGGGGCTCTGAGCACCTGGGGAGAGGTGGAGGAGAGGTCACCCTGTGCACGCGGCATAAGGATGCTGGCCTCATGGGCAGAGGGCTCTGCTCAGTCGTAACTGAGCAAAGCAGGGAGACGCGGCGCCCTGAGCCCAGAAGCACAGCTGGATGTACCCAGCAGAGTGGACCCCGGGAGCTCAGCACATCGTGAGCCTCCTCCCACCCCGAGCCTCAGTTTCTCTGTGAAATGGGATCGTGAGGGTGGGGCTACATTGCATTGTCATTCCAAGACAGCTCCCCACCACCACGTAGAGGGCGCCCCCACCCGGCACCTACCCTTCATCAACACTGTTGGGTACCCACATGGCACATGTCCCTTGTGACGGGACAGTGTCCTGGCCCCTGGGTGCGTAAGGCGCATGCGTGCCAGGAGGACAGACAGTAACCACCAAGGCCACGAACACGCAAACAGCCACACGGCTGTGCTGGTAGTTAGGGACCCCTGTTCCCGAGGGGAGTGGGGTGAGAACACAGGGGGAGGAGGCAGACGAGCGAAGTGTCCAGGGAGGGTCCTTGCAAGGGGCGGTAGGAAAAAGTGGCAGGAATTGGATGTTGGGGGGGGAATGGGGGAGGGCAGGAGGCAGGGGGCGCCCAGCTTGTGTGCTGCCGGGGGTTGGGGTGTTTCCTAGGAAAATGTGATGCAGGAGAGGAGAGTGTTGGGGGCCCAAGTGGCAACAGCAGGCTAGTGGGGCTGCTGTCCGGTCAGGCTGAGGGAGGGCAGGGCCTGGGCCTTGTGTCATGGGATCAAGTCCCCACCCCTCACACACATACCCAGCCCCAGAGACAGCCTCAGGGGTGGAGCCAGAGGGAGGGCTGATGGGACCCTTCCCTGCTCTGCCCCCAGGCCCCTGAGTGAGAGAGTCTGGAAGCCCACGATCTCTGAAGCGTCCCCACCAGCCTCACCATGAACTTGGAGCCACCCAAGGCTGAGATCCGGTCAGCCACTAGGGTGACTGGGGGACCTGTTACTCCCAGAAAAGGGCCTCCCAAATTTAAGCAGCGGCAAACCAGGCAGTTCAAGAGCAAGCCCCCCAAGAAAGGCATCCAAGGGTAAGCAGAGATGGGGGAGGGGCACCTCTGAAAGCGGGGTGGGTCAGGTCACCCCCAGGCGGCCAGTGGGGGCTGGGTTGGCCTCCCTGCTGCAGCCTGCGGGGGAGCGGGTGGGGAAAGGGCCTGAGCAGGGCCTGTCTCAAGGTCTCCTATTCTCCGGGATGGGGGGGACTGCAAGGGCTTGGGGGGCTCTTGTCCCGAACTCCAGATGCCACTGCCGAGCGGGTCTGGAAAACACTCACCCACACTGATATCTGTCTACACACACCCCACTGTCGTGCCCCACCCCCCACAGAGCCCACTGTCATGCC